TAAAGGATCTACAAAGCAAAAGTATGTTTCGAAGTCCATTAAACAGAAAGTGGAATTGCTGCAAAAAATGGATAAAGGCATATCCTTTGATTATCTAATCATTCCGAAATATGTTTATCAATTTCACGCTGCTCTGCGGGGGAAGGGAAACGACACGGCGCGCAATGAATTGGAAGTTGATCTGTCAGCACTATCCTTATCTTCAGGGCAGATGTTTTTATTTTATTTGGCTTATAATTCTTTACTAAATGTAGTATTTCATCTCGATGTACTCGGTCTTTGATATGATTTAAATCAAGTTCCTCGTCATTATAATTCGCTTCCGATAGTGAAGAAAGTGACTCAGAGGTTATTGAAAACGAAAAAATTTCGATTGACAAATTAGTCGGTATTCTCGACACAGCAATTATAGGACTTGAACAGCGGAACTTTGTAACTAAACAAGAAATTATGTCTGTTTAATAGAATTAAAGAGAAAGTATTATCACATGAAACGAAGCAAATTAAACAACTTACATTGAAAGAAATGTTTAATAAAATAAAAAAAATAAATATTTAGCTTTTTCTTTTTGTAAATTTTGATACCCTTTAGATTTATTTCATAAATTACGGTTTCATATTTTTAATTTTATAATTTCTGCATGCCATCTTACCAGATTTAAACTGATGATCTATAATCCGGAATCGCCGAAGTCCCGACGAGTCCGGATTAACGATTTTTGACTGTATTATGCAGCAAGGATGATAAATACTTCAATAGAATAACAAAATGTAGCCCAATGAAGATTCAAGAAAAAGATTAAGAAATGCTCATGTTTTTTTATTACATTGCTCCTTAAGCTAAAAAAAAATTTAGAACTACCGCGAGTGATTTGTTTTCTCATAAGCTCAAGATTTGATTATCTCTGAAAACAATCATCTTGCAGAGGTAAAATGGCAGTATCGAATTAAAAATTCTAGTGAATCCAAAGTAAAATGAAATAAGTTTTGTACACACACTGCAGTTAAAAAAAAAAAAAGTTGTGGTTGGATAAAAATGCACTTGAGTTACATATGCGGCATTAAACTGACATTTCAAGTTTAATAATTAAACGCAAAAACAAATTTAGATGGAAAAATCAAAATTTTATGCATGCATACACACACACACAGGGGGAGGGTAAAGATGAAACTTATTTGTTTATTTTTATTAACAACAATTTATCCTTGCACTGTAATACATAAGAATTATAACTATCTCTGCCATATTCACTAAATGGAAAAAAATGAATAAAAGTTTAGATTAGGATATTTGAATACAGCAAAGAACATGAGGGCTATCTGCCTCCCCTAAGGAAAAATGGCTCACATTTACGTTACACACAGGAAAAACCATACAGCCAGTACTTTCACCTATGATCAAACTTCCAGCATTCAGCAGTCTTAACTACTCAGCTACGTGTGGGACTAAATCAATAATCAGAATTAATATTTAGATATTCTATGACTTGAACCTAAGTATAATATATATGTATTCATTAAAATGTTTTAAAAAATCTAATATATATATATAAATAAAATAAAAAAAATAAAATATATAAATATATTTATATTTAAAAATTTTAATATCTTTTAGATAAAATTTTAAGTTAGATAAGAGAAGTCTTTTGAGTAAAAAAAGTGTATTTTGTTGGGGTATCTAATAGTTCAATAGCATCAAATTTAGAAATCATCAAAGCATAGCCAGTTCAGATAAGTCTTTTGGCAGTTGTTTTCTCCATCCATTTCAAAGCACATTGAAATCATTAGAAATGGGCTAGCCGTAAAGGTGGTTTTGTGGTTTTTTTCTGGATCCTAAATAGAATACCAGCCATAAAGGTAATTTTTATCTTTAGATAGTTAAGTCATTGTGTGCTTTTTCATAATCATTAAATGCTTATGTTACAGAAATTTAGGTCAGTTATCTAATTTGTGATTATATTGCTCAAATGTGTAAAGCTTAGTTAAAATTTTGATGTAAGCACAATATCAAGATACTATCTTGAACTTTTAATTATATCAGTCTTTGGAAGTTTTAAGGTATTTATTTTACTTGAACTTTTAATAACAGTCTAAACTTTTAAAGTAAGTTTTAAGGTATTTAATTTTTAAATGTGTGAGTAGTAAACTAATACATATCCATGTCATAATACATTTTAAGCTAATAATGAAATGCAAGATCATCACAAAGAAATTGGATTATTTTTATAATTTAACTCAGAAACATTAAATCATTATTTAGCATTTTAATGTACATTTTTGAATAAGAAACTTGATTATACACAGATCTAATGCTTTTTTAGAATGAATTATAAATAATTAAGGACATCAGCATCTCCTCAGCTGGAAATGGAACCAAAATTAACGAAACCACAGCACTAACAATTCTGTTATTAAATCAGCTATTAAATAACAAATATAATTACTAATTTTTCAATAATTTAAAGTGATTATAAAAATATTTCACATTATAATATAAATGTTTCTCCCTACAAAATGGCAAAAGCATTAAAATTATTGACTAGCTTTTGAACAATTAAGTACTATGTGACGTCATTAGATTATTTTGAAGCAGGAGGTGTGAAAAATGTGCAATGTTCTCACAGGAACCCTGGAACTCTCGAATATGCATCGAGTCTGTTTTCAATTACACCATGAAGACATGTGGAAGGACAGGAGAAAATACTTTATAACTATCTTACAAGTAAATGATCAACAAACATTTTGAAAGGAACAGAATACATCTACAAAGACAAACTATTAGGACAAACTGGTAATATTTGAGTTGATCTTCATTACTAAAATAACCTTAAAATACAAGTTCTAGTAACCCAGTAGAAACATTAAATCATTATTTACCATCTTAATGTACATTTTTTAAAAAGAAAATTAACTATACAGAGATCTAATGCTTCCTTAGAATGAATTATAAATAGCTAAAGATGTTAGCATTTTCTCGCCTAGCACAGGAACCCATAAATTCAAGAAATCAGTGTTACCTACTCTGCTATTAAATCAGTTGCACGTTAAAGTTTTAATCTTTAATTTGCACACAGATTTAATCAATATATATACTAATTTTTCAATAACTGGAATAAAATCTTTAAATCTGTTTATTTTTATGGAGTCAATCAACAGTTTATTTTTGTATTTCTTATATCAAGTGCCCAGAAAATATCCAGTATGATCATTATGTATTAGTTTCTATACTATATTAACTTATTAGTTGTATTTTGCTGTTTAACTTGAAGAGAAAAATTAAAATCAAATGATAATTAGCTTTTAGTTGCCTTTCATTTTTTAATTAATCTCAAATCAAACATAGCTTCAGTTTGCTTTATAAATGAAGCTAGCTATTCAACAGAAAATTCTTCAGCAAAGCATGTGAGTGCTATTTGTCAAAAGGGAGGAGTGCTTTTGTGGAGGACTTTCTAGAGGAAACTGGTTGGTATCCAAGTTACACATTGGAAATTTGCAAAAATGCTCATGTAGCCAACCCTTTCGATTGGAATCCAACTCAGGTCAAACTATTAGTATTCAGTAACTTTACTGCTTGGCCACTGATGGGATCCAAATCAAACATATGTTTAATTATTAAAATGAGCTATTGAACAGAAAATTCTAAAAGAAACGATAATTACTTATCCAAAACAAAAGTAACATAAATTTATCCAAACCATTTTAATTTGCTAATTAAAGGATATTTAAACAGTTTATTTATAATTTGAAACCATGCAATATGATTTCTTAATTTTTTACAAGGTTTAACCATATACAACATGATACACCATTTACTTATTATTAACTAATTGTATGAGGTGCATAGAAATTTGATGAAAATCTCAATTATAAAGTATAATTTACATATCACAATGACAAGTTTACATAAGTAGTTGAATCAAGGATATTTTGTTTGTTGCATATCTGTTACAATATAAAAACAGGATCAAATTAAATTAAAATTATTAAACATTTATTATTATACTTGTTTTGTGTTATAAAAACCTGCTGAAATCGGTGTAGAGTAATAGCTATTCTGATCATTCACAATTTACGAATTTTATTTGAGAAAAGATAACGTAAGTTCAAAATTATAAAAGAACAATCTAACTATGAGATGTTAGAAAATAAAATTAGGACTAATATTTTGAAACTACATTTGTTCAAAGATTAATAAACCATGCTTCATATCGAAAGACTTTTGATGATCCTGATAAAAACTTAATTCAGGAAATACTGAAAAATTATTTCAGTGATACGAATTATTGTTATAGTATTAAGTGATTAAGAAATATTTCAGAGTATACTGTAAATGCTTCTCCTTATAAAATAGCGTTTAATATGTTCAAGCGTTAAAATTAGTGATTAGCTTATGGAAAATTTCTGTCTGCATACGAACAACAAAGAACAAAAAATTTCAGTAAAGAACAAAGAAAATGCGTGAAGATCCCCAAATCACGACAAATTGGCGATATTTCAGTTGCTCTTCATTACTATGACAAACATAAAGTTCTTCTTCTAGCAACCCGGAGACAAAACTCTTCATCTGAACGTCATGCGTGATTGACATTCATTATAACCAATGAGAGGGTGCCATTTAGTGGGAGGAGCGAGAAGAGGTCCGGTTAATAACGTGTCCCTTATGGTAGTTAATAGAATAATCATCACTTTTGTTTGCAATGTGTAATCGAGAAATGAGAATAATTATGGGAACTTTTTAAATATAAAAACTGAAGTCTTCTTCCCTTTTATAATTTTAGTTCAATAGTCAACTATGTCTGCTAATAAGGCTGTTTTAAAAATACACCTACAAAAATGAGGAGGAAGTATTTGTACTTACAGAATACGAAAATAACAAAAAATTAAGAATACTTATTTTAAATATTCAGAAAAATGAAGCATTCAGTGGCTATGCCACTGAATTTGATTTAAGAGCTCAGGCTGCGGTGGTTCGTACTACATTCAGTGAATTCATACGTAAGATGACTAAAGCTCTTTTTCAGAGCACTCCTGATTGCAGAGAATATATTTATAGCTTGGAAAAGAGTAGTGATGCTTACATTTTTAAGTGGAAAAGCGTTGATAGCGATGAAACTGTAATTAATCTTGGTAACTTAAAGTTGGATGAGATAGACTATAAGTTTGCTATTGCTGATGTCTTGCAGTCTGCTTCATCGGAGTTATTGAGCTTAAACGAAAAAGTTCACAGTTTAAATGCTTCTTTGCAAGAGAGTGAAAACAAGAAAACAGAAGCTGTCAATCTGCTTGCTTTATCAACTGATGCAAAGGAAAATTTGGAAAGAGAAATGTATGCAAAGTTTATTTTAGTGCTGAATGAAAAAAAGCGTAAAATTAGAGAATTGCAACTTAATAAAAAATCTCATAGCCGTTCATCAAACAATAAGAGGGAGAAAAGTTGTGAAAATAAAAAATCTTATCATCAGTACAGTGAATCTTCTGATGAAGTAGATGGAAATCTTGAAACTGCCAACAAACCTGCACCATCAACTTCATCAAAAAGAAGTTCTATGTTATTTTTTGATGATATTGAATCAGATGTTCCTATCAAACAAAGCAAAATGCGTAATAGGAAAGCTATCAATGTAGCAGAATCTACATCAAACGATTTTAAAATTGCTGAAAAGACAGAAGAGAGATTCTTTCAGTGTATTAATGAGGAAGATGATTTGCTTAATTGTATGTGAAGTTTTACCTTTTGTTTTCCCAATGGGAAAAAGTTTTAGATATATTTTAAATTTTAAGAGCCAATATATATAAAGTTGTGTATAATATAGATATATATATATATGGGTACTTCCTTATTATTATGCTTCTCATTATCTAAATGACACAAGATTATCGATAAATTGCCAAATGATCAGCAGCCATAACCATGCTCACTAATAATGGAACTTACTTATTATGGTCCTTCTTATTTTATGACCGTTTTCATATATTCACATGTGAGATAAAATGCCAGTTTATGGTAGAATGGTGCATCTTTACTCGTTCTTTACTAAATTAGGGAATGTTAAAAGCCTTAGTAAAAAGGAGAACAGAAATATTATGTTAAAGCATATCTTTCTCAAAACCTTTCACATAGCAAACGAATGTGGTTAGGATTAGTGGTCATTTAACAATGTTCTGTGACAAATGTTGTCGAATTGTCAATAATCTTGTTGCTGTTTATATAAGGGGGTCATAATATTAAAGAAGTTACTATCTGTGTGTGTGCGTGTAATTTAAAAAGTGTTTTTAATTTTTTATTCTGCTAAAGCTTTTTTAATGAGGAGCTTCTTCATTTTAAAATACTGAAATAATATTCGTTTACTCTCTGCACCATTCCTTTATTTTCGTTTCTTTCAAAAAATTTAGTTGTATAACATATGGTGATATTCATATTTAAATAAAATGGATATTTTAAATCAAAAGCTGTTAATAGCATGTCTAAGTGATTCATGAACCATCCCTATTGACAAATTTTACAGAACTACTTATTTTCTAAGTTCATAAAATTAATAGGTGTTAAAAAATATATATTTATTGGATGCATATTTGTTTAATATCTGAAGTATCTATGTTAAAAAATAACTTGGTTGACAAGATTTGTAAATACCAACTGCTTTCTTCTACTTACTTTATAATGATTCAAAATGTTGGATATTTGTATATCAATGTATGATGCAATTATATTCTACTCTGTAATGTAAATAAATTTATAGATTTACTTATCAGCCTTTTTTTGGGGGGGGGCAGACAACATGATATCAATAGGAAAAATGGCAATTTATCATTGAAATTGTGAGAATAACATGTGTAATAGTTTAGTTGGTAAATGTTTACAATTGGGTGCCCCTTGTTTTTTGGGGATTCTTTTTATGATGCCGAGATTGGTACCAGGAAGGCACGATTTGAAGATGGCTACTACACAAAACCCAAACAAGAAGTCAAAAAATTGCGCAAACTGGGTGTCCATGTGTACATTGATCTACTTGAAAAAAATCAGAGAATTGCACAAACTTGCATGGCTGATCTTTACAATATGGTAACTGGTAGTTTGGCGACATTTTGGAGGCGATAAAGGTTACTACCTGGTCAGAAATGGCGTTTTATCAACAAAATTTGTTGCCAGTCAAAGGGACACACAATTCTACACTAGAGCCATTTAATTTATCTAATTACAGCAAAGCGTGCTAAGACTATCTGTCTAGGGCAACGGATAGTGATCACTCTTCATAGTGGGCTTTCTTGGGAAACTGACTTGTATACATGGGGAAAATCACAGAAACACCCTGCTGATAGCCTGCTCTCTTGGAATCCAACTCCGATCAAACTGCCAGTGTTCAGCTACCGTTTAGCGGTTGGTGGGCAACGTGTGTAATAAGTACTTAGGGTGGGTTGTCTTAAAATAATCATTGTCATTTAATTAAAAATAATGTGCAGTATGATTAAAGGTATTTATTTCATTGAAGAAATTTTCATTATATTTTATTAGATATGTTTGTTCCAAGTGTCTCAAGTTCTTTTTTTAATTGCATGTTCCACTACATTTTTTAAAAGAACTTGTCTAAAAAAGTCTTAAAATCTGTATAAAATCTTGCTATTACACAGCTAATATAGTTTCAGTAAAGGAGAGAGTTTATAGTTTTAGGAGAAAATATAAATTAAGGATCTTGTATTTATTATTAATATATGTTTTGCATGTGCACCTCTTAGAAGAATATCCTTCAGCTGTCTACAGGCAGAGGAAAATGCAAGGATATATCTTTTTCTTCATAAAACCTATCATGATTTAGAAAGCCTGAATATGTATAGCAAAGAACTTCATAGATCACCAAGCATTTCATTATTCGTCCTTTTTATGAACATTAGGCCTTTAGCCTTTTATTGGAGCTATATACCCATTCAGAACATTTCGTTTTTTATAGCTGTATATGGAGTATTATTAAAAATTTGTTTTAAGTTGTTGTCGAGCCCATATTTCATGGAAGATTGGTTGCCAGAACCTCAAGGAGGTTGGACGTCTACTTTCACACTAGTTTTGAGGAAGGGCACCCAGGGCTCTCCCACCTGTCTTCTCTACCACCAAACCACACGAGAGGACTTTTGGCTCACCATCTATTTAGAGTGTGCCCGTGCCACAAAGACACTATGCATTTAGAAATACCCATGCCTTCTCTGGGATTTGAATTTGGGTACTTTGGTGCCTAAGTACTCTCCAAGCCACTATACTATCTGGGTATCATTTGTTTCAATTATGCTTGCTAAAGAAATTATCAGGAGCTATTCACCAATACAGTACTTAACCAAGCTCTCAACGATTTTGTTGACTTTTATTTTAAGCATTGTAAATGATTTCTTTATACATTTTTATATTTTTGTATTTACTTTTTTTTGTTGATTTTATTATTGAAATTTATTATGTTATTACTTACAATTTTGCCTTTTTACTTAGGATTTGTAAGTCTTGTGTGATACTTTGTGGTGCATGAGGATTTCTTTTTCTTTAAATTAAAATATATATATATATATAATACTTGAAAAATGTTGGCAATCCAAACAAACTAAAATTTAGCATTGTAACATTATGTTAAGATTTGTCATTTGAACATAACAGGTTAATTGCCCATACGAAAAAAACCAATGCAAACAAGTCAAGTCCTACTTCAACATATTTGGGACCTTAGGTAATCATTTTAGTTAAATACCAGTGTAAATTAAACATATTAATTATTGAGAGTGAAATATACCCTATTTAACTGTTATTTGTGAGGTACCCTTAGTTGGCACTGTATAAAAATTCATGGCTAATCTTTGGAATATGGTAACAGGCAGTTTGGCGACATTTTGGTAGGCGATAAAGGTTACTACCTAGGACTTTGGCAATAATGTGAGAAGTACTCAGTTCAATTACGGATTATTTTGTCTGAGAGAAATGAGAGATCATGAGATATGTCATGTGACATTTATGGATGAATGATAGCTCTTTAATCGGAAAAAGGGGGAAATTTGGAAAAATATCTGCAGTACTTTATAGCATTTTGTATTTAGCTTCATTCTGTGTTGTGTGAAAGAGTGTTGCTTAAGTTTTGGATCCCATGGCCCTATCTAAAGTGAATTAGAAATTTTTATTGCGTTTATCTGATAATCCGAAAGAATTGCTTGAATGGTGTATGAGTGTAGGATTAATTGCAGATAAGTATGAATGTCCAACATGTGGGAATGAAATGAGATTGTGTGAAAGGAAGGATATTACAGATAAGTTTGAATGGCGGTACAAGAAATCTGGTGAAAATGGACATTTTGTGATCCGCCATTCACTCAAGATTCTGTGGAAGATTAGGTAAGTTAGTATTTTTAATCATTTGAGGATATTATTTTTATGCAGTGTTCTAAATATAAGGAATAAATAAATTAATATGCTATTATTGGAAAATTTTTATTAGCAATGAATTAGTTTAAAGTAATTAAGGTTTTAAGTTAATTTTTATTAATTTAATGTATGTGTTTATTTATATTTTAACTGGTGTTTTTTAATTTAATTATATTTTAATTAAATGATAGTTATTTTGTGAATTATATGTTTGTAGCATTTTGGAATATGTTTCAGTAGAAGTAAACGTGCATGGAAATAATTTAAATATTTGACACTAAGTATTTGCAACCATTTTTAATGTTTGCGTTATAAATTCGCAGGTGACGTTTATAATAGATAATTTAGAGGGAAAAAGTTTTTGGATATTTTATTTATTTTATACGTGCAAATGTTCATCCTTGGAAAGGGTATATACTTTTTCGCGATCAGGTAATTTCATATATGTCCTTTTTTCGGTTTTGTTCAGTTCAGTTCATGTTCAGTTTTGGACAATTGTTGACGTGTATTCCTTATCATGGACCGAAGTAAGGCAACCTTGCAATTTAACAGAATTCTTGAAACATGACTGGAAGGTTTTTGATTAGATTTCATTTGAATAAAACCAGGATTAGATTTGATTTGAATAAAGCCAGGATGGGAGTGAGGGGAAGCCCCCTCAGTCCCATCCTGGCTGATATTTACATGCATTATTATGAATCAAAATTGTTTGAAACTTTAAACTTCCCGGCATGGTTCCGCAATGTAGACAATACTTTTACCCTGTTTGAAGGTAATAAAGATGATTTAAATAAAGTTCTTTCAACAATGAATTCTATTGATACTGTTATTCAGTTCACTTTTGAACTTGAGACTAGCAATTCTCTTCCGTTTCTTGACATTCTGTTCACACCTAACACATCCAACCTCAGTACTACGGTTTTCCGTAAACCTTCATTGGTTTGCCTTCCACCACACTTTAAATCATGTCATTCGACTAAACAAGTTAGCTTCATTTTATTCCTATGTTTTCCGTGCTCTTCAAGTTTGCTCCTCCAAACTAGCCCTTGATGAAGAACTAAATTATTTAAAAGCAATAGCTACTGACAGGGGCTTTTCACCCAACATTATTAATCAAGCAGTTAAAAAATTCTCATCTCAACACACTAAAAGGCACACTCTTGCTTTGGGAGATTGTAAAAATTCTGTTGTCATTCCCTTCTTTCCATCAATTAGCTATAAAGTTGCACATATTTTGCAGAAATTTAACTTTCAGGTTGTGTATTCTCCCATCAATAAAATTCCGAGTTCCATACTCAAGGACCCCATTCTGGATATGAATTCCTGGGGTAT